GCTTCTTTATTTCTCCCAGTTCTCCTCCCAACACCTAGGGTTCTGACCTGTGGTAGTTCTTATGCACAGATCCCACATTCAGACGTACTGTTGTGCAGTTTGGATGTTTTTTGTTGAGGTTTAGATGTTCAGCTTATTGTTGTTTCAAGGAGAAGGATCTGGGGACATCTGTCACTCCATCATGTTTCCCAAAATCATTTTTTAATTGTATGATCTCCACCAGTGAGACATTGATGTGGCTTGGATTCTACATTGGTGCTTTTATTTGCGTTTGAAAATGTAAACCAAATAGCGGTAGAATAATACCAAAAACTAGTACTTGTATTTGTTGAACACTGACAGATACTAGTGTAAGAAATTTAGATATATTCATTCATGTAACTCTCACATATAATCGAAGGAGGTAGATACTACTTTTATAATCACTGTTCAGAGTGATCACTTATTACCCAAGGTCACACAATAAATGGAGGCAGGATTCCAACCCAGGCAGTCTGACCACTGTGCTCTGCTGGCCTGAAGAGGCAAAGTCATAAGTTCAGGAATAAGCTTGTGTCCAGGGCATGGTTGCAATAAGAAAGTCAGACAGCTGGAATGGAGTCTAAGTATACATATGTGGATCTGAGCTTGGTATATGAGATTAAAGACTTTAGCCTGGAAATCTGGAGCAGTGTCTTAGGAATAAAAACTAAAAGGGATGGGAGAGAAGTGAGGAGGATTGGAACCATGGGAAAGCTCTAGAGTGAAAGAGATTCTGTAGAAAATACTTCATAACTACTAGTTAGGTTTTATGAAATAATGTTATTACTAGAGAAGCAGAGATCAGGGGTGGTTGGGGAGGGGAGCAAGGTACTATGGTTTGGGGTAAATAACTAATTTACCTTTTGTTTACCAGCACCTACAGTTTGGACCAAGAGACTCTAGCCAAGATCCCTCCCACTCACCACATCAAAGATGAAATATCTAGGAGGAAATAACCAGCAGCCCAATGCTGAGTTTGCAGACCTAAGTGTAAAGCCACAATGGATATGTCAGAAGGCTACTGGGGTGTTATTTATTTAAATCTATTTTATGGAATTGAGCAGTACCTTGACGGCCTGAAAGTGTTAAAGTATGTCCCAAAGTACCTAAATTACTCTCTAAATGTAATTTATGCTCAAGAATAATCTAACTTGATTTAGAACAGCAGGAAATAAGTTATGCTGCACATAAATGAAACTGCAGTGTAATTTTAAATACTGCTTGCATAGTGAATGAGAATTTTAATATTTGCAAAATTTTAAAATCACTTGATTTATTATTATCCATATGTTTATGCTGACATTTTTTGTCCTTTATTTACTTAGGTCTATATTTCCTCATTGCCAGAGAAAAAAGCAACAACTTTTTTCCCCTAGTAATAATATAGAGGGTAAAACTTATATTTATTTCCTTGAATGCCATTTTTAATATCTCTATGTGTTTCTAATTATTGCTTCCTTTTTCTTCAATCATGGACAGTCCAATTAATGGCATAGAAGGGATTTAGGGAGCTTAGTGATTTAGTAAAGATTAAATTTAAATGTAACATTGTAAAACGAGCAAAATTTATATATATTGTTTTCATTGGTGGAAAAGAGTTTGTTTATAAATAATCATGATAAAATATGAAATTTTACATAGTGAATTCAAGAATAGATTTAGACCTTTGCTGTTAACAATGCATATTAAAACTGAAAAGTGTATTTTAAAATTTTATGTAATGCTTGTAGGGGAGTTTAAAATATTATTCACATTCAATGTCACCACATGTAAAAATGCATGATTTTATCCTTTAATATTTTATTTGAGTAGAGTTACTCATTTTAAAATTATTTTAATAATAAAATTGAATCAACTTTATAGTTTTTAAAGTTTTAGCAGTTACAAGCTATACTGAATACTCTGCATTTAGATATTTATAAAGTGACAGTGCAAGTAGTTCAGATCAAGTCTTTTTTTATTAAATTTATTGGGGTGTCATTGGTTAATAAAATTATATAGGTTTCAAGTGTAAAATTTAATAATATGTCGTGTATATTGCATTGTGTGTCCACCACTCAAAGTCATATCTTCCATCACCATATATTTGATCCTCTTTACCCTTACCTATCACTTCTAACCCCCTTTCCCTCTGGTAATCACTGAACTGTTGTCTGTCTATGAGTTTTTGTCTGTTTGTCTTATTCACTTGTTGCTTTAGTGGGATATAAAACTGAAAGCAACAGATCAAGTCTTTAAGTATGCAAAGGTTTGTTTGGATTGCAGGAGTAGGAGAAAGGGAGCAAAAGGGAAAGTGAGCATTTCAGGAATATGAGACTAATGAGCAAAGTCACAGAGTTCTGAGGAAGTAGCAAGGTGTGGGGGAATGGCAGGTAGTCAGTCCTTTGTGGGGGGCAAGCCCATCCTGTCTCATTTTTGCGTGCCTGAAACAAGGATGTAAATAGTAAACCCTAGGCCTCAGCCTGTTTTCCTTTTACTCCTCTCTCTAGCTCTGTCTTGCAGACGTAGGGGTACCATCATCAATCATTTAGGCCTTTGTGGATTTCTTCTCTGGAGAGTTTAGAGAGAAGATAATCTGTAAAGAGGAAGAGGATGGGGTGGGGGTGGGGTGGGGGCAGGAGGTTTTGTGGAATTTGGAAGATGGTAATTGGCAGGGCTGGTGAGTGGCAGAGGGATATGGCTGTGCAGCAGCCTGGAAGAAGAGTGAGTACTAATAGAACAAATGTTGGAAAAACAATCACCTCCCAGTAGCTGAAAGAGTTGGCAATAGGACAGTTCTAGTGATTGGGCAGGAAAAAAAGCAAAATAAGAAGGGGATTGCTGCAAAGGTGGAATGGCAAATTGTGACCAAACTACAGCTTCTATGTGATCTGGCTAGCTTCTACCTTCTTCTCAAACTATGGTAGAGGGAGGAGGGTTGGAAGTGATAGTTGTTACCATGAGACACTGCCTTTTAAAATTATTTTTAAATTACTGTATTTTTCTAAATATCAAAGTATAAAATGTACATTGTAAAAAAAACCTAAACAACATAGAAAAATATATAATGAAAATTAAAATCAATTATAGTCTCACTAAGATAGAACAATGCCAACTATGCCTCATTGTTTTTTAGATTCTCATTTAACAATTCTTTTACTCCAATGACCCAAGTGCCTAAAAGACATAGGCAATATTTAGTTTTTTTTTTTTAAGGGAATAAATTCTTAAGCTGTATCTGTAAGTCATTGTGTGTTAGATACCACTAAAAATATATGAAAACAAGATTATTATTCAACATGTAAAGTATTTCTAAGATCCTTTTGTGGCTGATGGATATTTGATTAACTCGAGTGCCATTAATTATTAAAGACAAAATTCTTATTTTTAAACTAGCTATAATTAGAGATTACCTCTTTATGTTATCATTGGTTACATTTTTTTGTGCTAACAAAATAGTCTTTTAAATATTTTTACAGTAATAAATATAATCATTAAATGCAATGTCTGATAGAATACAATGTACATGTAGATACATAATTAAATATTTGGAAGAAATAATAATGAAGAAAAATAAGGAAAAAACACTACAGCTATCACTTTGAATTGTTTATCTGGTAAGGCAAGACGTCATCTTGAAAAAAGAAATCCCAGCTAAGACTATATAAGATGGTGAAAGGTACCACTGAAACCAGAGAGATCCACTGAAACCCCTCTCAGCCATTTAATACCTATTTAGATTTTGGCAAGTTGCTCACCCTCTCATTTTTGTCCGGGGGAAAATAGAAATAATAATTGTTAAGTCACAGCAGGTGTCGTAGGAGTCAGTGAAATCGGATATGTAAAATCACAGAGCCCAGTGCCTGGTTCATAGTAACTTTAATAAATGTGAATTCCATTCCCTTCTCAGTAAAATGGTAGGGAGTTGTGGCTTTATTTAAGTTTTTAAATTATTTAAAGTTTCTAAATGAAGGTACAGATCTGAGAAGATATTCAAAACTATAGTCCGTTGCATCTCAAGAGTAGAACTCAGAACTTTGGCAGACTACTATGCTCTGAGGCAGCCCCACAGCCAGGAATCTTCAGGACAGCTTTTGTTTTAGTGCTAGCAAATGTTTGTTGGGAGAGTTCCCAGGAGAACCAGCAGATCAGAAGCCCCATAAGACTTTAAAACTTATTTTACAGAGTGTTTTTCACCTTGACTGTACATTGGAATCACCTGGGTTCTTTTAAACCTACCAGTGTCAGTATCCCACCTCCAAAGATACTGATTTAATTCATCTAGAGTGGGGCCAGGAATCAGTGTTTTGTTTTTGTTTTTATTTTTAACACCCCATGTGATTCTAATGTGCAACTGTCTAAGGTAAACATAAAGCTCTGATTCATATGAAGTTCCTTCAGCATTCCAATTTAAAATGCTAGTGGATACAATATAACAAGAAAGATAAAGGAAGACAACACTTGTCCCCTGGTTTTAGACTATTATGTCAGTTGGTTGGTTAATTGCTTATATCTGAGCCTACAATATAAGTTACAGCACTCATCCTTGGTACTTGAAGATCTTAATGAATAGATTCTTTTGGATCAAGAGTAATAGTGAAATTGATAGACTTTATGAGGTAAATTGATTTTGATCCAAAAGTATTTCAAAATTGAATAACTTCAAAATCCTTAATTTATTAGATGTTAATATATTTTTAAATTCCTGAAATTAGAAAAATAAATATGCTCACAGGGAAGAAAATGTTAATACTCTATGATAGTTGTCTTTATCTTTGTTTAAATCAAGAAATGTATTCAATTTTAAAGGGAAATATCACAGACTTTTATTTTAATTCATCCTTTCTATTCAATATTATTTTTGTTAATTGAAATTGAAATCTACAAATGCGCAAGACTCTCAAAATAATATTTTGTTGATATAATCAAATATTCTATGTCCATATAACATGACTTATATAATTCATTTGTTTTTCTTGATCCATATTTTTTACCTCTAGGCGATTTGACAGATCTGTTGAAAAATGGCGGCGGTTTCATTATGATATGAAGATATTTAATCAATGGCTAACAGAAGCTGAACAGTTTCTCAAAAAGACACAAATTCCTGAGAATTGGGAACATGCCAAATACAAGTGGTATCTTAAGGTAAGATTTTGAGATCTCTTTTTTCAAATTGTGTTTATCTTCACCAGAATATCACAACTGTTTAACTTCTTTAAGTTTAGGTTATAAAGGATGATGGAAATTTCTAATTCCTGACTTATGTTGCCATTACTGCACATAGGAGAACATCATCATAATGATCATTTTGAAAGACTGCTGTGGATTTTTTGTGACAGGATGAGAGTAAGCCTAGATATAACTGGTTTATCTGATGAACTGCAAAGTGTAATTGAACCTGGGAAGCATCTTAAAGCAGGGTGTCCTGTGGCTTTAGGGCATTGTATATTTTTGCCTTTTGTTGGATCATGTCCAGAAGGAGAACTTGTGGTATGCTTAGCAATAACGTAGTTGTTAGAAATATCCATCATGATAAAATTACAAATCTTTTCGGAAAAGACAATGTGTAGTGATGTAGCAATATTTCTATATATTCTATTGACAAAATGCCTTCTGCAATAGTCCAGAGGCCAAAACAATGTAGAGTTAATTGGTGGTACTTATTGACTTTTTTATGGTTTATGTTAATGGAAATGCAACATATGGATTATAACCAGTGTATAGTTTAATTTCATCTTGCTGTGTCTTTTGAGTATGTAGATAAAGATAAATTGGATTGCGAAGGTTGTAATTTAGCTTATAAAATATACAATTTAGTTCTAAGAAATATTGTGTTATTTACACCACGTCTTAAGTATTTTTGCAACTTTTTTAGCTTGACTTGTTCAGGTAGCAATTTTCAATCAAGTAGATTTGAATCGTGGCCAATTTTTAATGCCAGAAAATACTGATTAAGACAGATGAAAGCAAAGGAAATAGTAATATATTAAATAGTTCAGACTTTTCAAAATGCTGGATTCATACAAGCAATATCATATTCACCTTTATAATTCTCCATTCTCAAATATTTTTCATAGCAAATATGCATTTTGATATTAAGAAAGTAAGTATTTAAACGCCTAAGTATATGTAAGCTATGTAAATATAAAAAATGAATAATTTAAAAATCTTGTATAATTATGTGTATGTCAACCAAAATTATATACACATCAGCATTGGCATGGGAGATAGAATAGGAGATAGAGGGAATTCATGGACTTTGAATATGCCATCATACAGAAAATATATTTTATAATAGCATTAAAGTAAATTTTGAGCTAATGCAACATCACTAGGTCTCTGACTTAAAGGCAGGAATATTAGTATCATATAAGGTTTTTTGGGGGGAAATGTATAAATCTCCTGCCATTTCCAAAGTATCTGACACAAGGTAGTTATGTATTTTAATATTTGCATTATAAAAATAATATATACTCATTATAAAAAAAATAAAGTGATGTAGAAGATATACATCCATTCTACTCTACAGAGGGTGGTTATTTTGATATGGATTTTGGTACGTATTTTAGGTTGGCATCCTTGGGAACTCTCAGGTGGAGATTAGCATACATAAAATTTATTAGGGAACTTTCTTTGGAATCAAACAATGGTTTATGATGTGTCTTCGTGTGGTTTTCCTCATGTTTCTTGTTCTTGAGGTCTGTTAAGCTTCTTGGATCTGTGAGTTTATAGTTTTTATCAAATTTAGAAGTTTTAAGATGTTATTTTAAAAAATATTTTCTGTTCTCTCTTTTCAGGGACTCCAATTATACGTATATTAGGCTGTTTAAAGCAGTCCCACTACTCATTGATGTTCTGTTCTTTTTATTTTCAGTCTTTTTCTTTATAAATCATTTCACATAATTTCTCTTGTAAAATTGAATAATCTAACTTTTGCAATATCTACTCTGTGGTTAAGTCACATCTAGTGTTTATTTTTATCCTCAGACTTTGTTTTGTATGATTCAACACATCGTTGAAATGTGATTTGAGTCTTTTTACTCTTTCCATTTCTCTATTCAATGTGTCAATCTTTCTCCTACCATCTTGAAAATATGGAATATAGTTATAATAGCTGTTATAATATTCTTGTCTATTACTTTTAGCATCTCTATTTTGGGTCAATCTCAATTAATATTCCTCTTCATTATGCATACTATTTTCCAGCTTCTTTGGATGACTGGTAATTTTTGATTGAATATCAAACATTGTGACTTTTAACTTATTGAATATTTGATAGTTTTGTACAGATAAATATTCTTGACCTTTAGGGACAGAGTTAATTTACTTGAAAATGATTCACTATTTTAAGCATCTTTCTTTTATACTTTGTGAGCAGAACAGCATAAGTCTAGGGCTAATTTTGCCCCACTACTGAGGCAAAACCCTTCTGGATATTCTCTCTAACGCCCTGTGAATTATGAGGTTTTCCACTATGGCTGGCAGGAACAGGCACTATTACTAGCTATATATAAGCTCTGGAGATTGTTACCTTTAATCTTTTTGTATAGTTCTTTTAGTTCTTTAAAATGTAGTTTCCACATATATGAACTGATCAGGACTCTGGTGTAGACTGAAAACTGTGAGCTCTCTGCAGGTCTCCAGTGTTCCCGCTCTATGATCTCCTCTCTGCTACTCTTCCCTGTGAACTCTAGTCACCTTGGCTTCCTTGATGTCTCAGTTCCATCCTCTCAACTCAAGGAGACCTCCTGGCTTTGTGAGGGTTCATCTTTTGTCATAGCCTAGAACTCTCTCCAGACAGTAAGCTTGGGGCAATTGTAGGGCTCACCTCATTTTTTTCTAATTTCTCAGACATCACTGTCTTTCATTGCTTGATGTCTAATGTCTTCAAAACCATTGTTTTATATATTTTGTTCATTTTTTAAAGTTTCTAGCCAAAAGGTTAAATTTGTTCCTCGTTACTTAAACTTGGCTAGAAGCAGAAATTCAAAATACATGATTTTGATGTCATTTAATCTTTTAGTACATTTATTTCTATATAATTTTTCAACTATATAATAATTTTAAATGCCTTAATTGTGTCTAAAGATCCTTGCTTCTTGACAACGTTTAATTGAAACTGATGAACACTGTGTTAAAACTTTTTCCTGTAATTAGAGAATTTGTAAGAAGACTCCCTTATTTAATTTATTTTTTACTCAACTTATACATGGAATAATAAAGAGAATCATAGATGTCCAGGGAAGTTCTTCTAACTAAGGAACTTTGAATGTTATCACAAGTGCTCTAAAGGGTTAAGGTATTTTTCCTTGTGATTAGGAATGTCTAAAATCATGCATATGCACATGTGCATATATGCATGCACACACATGCACATAAGCTGCCTGAGGTTATCTTTTCATTCTGGTCAGTCTCAGAAAAAAAGTCCAGAAAGGCATTTTAAGTCACTTCCGTTGATAAGACAAATGGAATCATTGGTAATTTCAGCTATGTTAACCATCAGCATCGTTGTTGACTAATAACGAATAAAAGAAAGTTTAAATTTTGGTAGAAAATTATTATAGGAAACAGAGTGTAGATGGTGCCTGCTAGCAGCTGACCTATTTGTTGGCATCAACCAGAAATGGTTACTTTACAACCAAGTAGCCAATGTACTAAAAAAATACATACAGAGTTATACTGGAGTTTAAAGCCTGATATGTACAATTATCAGCAAAGAACCTAGGTATGAAATGGCATTTTTAAAATATACATGTTGTCAGCTCGTCTATATATATTTCTATCAAACTGCATTTTATCTTTTTAACTTTAAAAAGGACAAATCAGTGTCCTACTTACACTTGGTCTTATCATTCAAAATAAACTGACTATGAGTACCAGAAAGATGGTCTGAGTCCATGCAATTCAATTTTTTTTCTCTGTCACAAGCAAATGATAAAATTAAATATACCAATTAATATTTTTCAAGATATGCCAAAAAATGTCTTGCCACCATGATGAACCCTTTTAAAATGTATTTTTACATGAGAAAATATCAATCATATTTTAGTAAAAATTGATTTGTTAATAAATTCATTCAATTATTTATGCAGCTCTTTATACAGTGATTCAACCAGCAGTGATTGAGTGCATATGCAAAGTTTTATCACACACAAAAATATTGACATGCCACATTAGGCTCTAATAGAGTGTAGAAGGTTGGCTAAATGGTTAGAAGCCACATTCAGGAAGTGAGGGTTCAAATCTGGCAACTTTGGCTTAATACCTGCAAAATATTGGGAAAATATCTTAAGTCTCTCCATGTCTATGCTTTCTCTTCTCTTAAATAAGAATAAAAATGAGATGTGCATAAAGAATTTAGAACTGCATTTTCCACAAAGTACTCATTAAATATAAAATATAACTAAACACACTTTGTGTTAGCCTTTATCTATACAAACAACAACAAAAATTTAATGGGTTACTGTCCCCAAACAACTGAAATGAAGATTGAACAAACTGGAAATTTCATAAACTTTATTTTTATGAATTATGACTTTATCGAAGTATAGTTCTTGGATTAGGAATTGAGGAAAATTCTAATTCAGCCAAACACATTCTCCTCAGATAGCTGACTCTTCTGACTACTTATTTTACAACTAACAAGAAATGTTAATGATAGTTTTCAAAGGGAAAGCTGAGCACCATGAAGGAAAGTTATGAAAATAATATTAACTTATATACTGACAGAGTGAATTGGTGTGCCAACAAGTACCTTGAGAGAAAACAGAAAAGTGGAAATCATAACATGCCCTAATGTTTAGGTCTACATGTTCTCCTAGAGTAGAAAGAAATAAGTTTTTAAAATATGGATTGTTATTTAATGAGGTTCAAAATTCTTGAAGTTGGCAGTAGAAATGATAAAAAAAAAATCACCATTAGTTTGAGTGTTTAAGAGTGGAATATTCTTGCTATTAATGGAAATTAGAACCTGTTTATATTATAGGATAATGCTGTTTAGTGAACCATATTTAAAATTGCCAGTACTTTCCTGAAGAATGTTACCATGAGCAAGCATGAGATTTTGTTAAGAAAGGCCATTTGAAATCAACCTTAAGAAATAAATGAAGTGGGATTGTTTAGATGAAACATTTTAGGCTTTAAAT